CTGTCCACACTATCACAGCTGTAATGCAGTAAGTGGCTTAGGAAAGACACCAGCTTTTGTTAAGACCATGGACCTGGTGCTTCTTAGACTTGGGGGAAATGTTTTTGTTTTGTTTTGTTTTGTTTAAACAAGCCTCTCAATGCATCTCTGGCTAGTGTCAAATTATCCACCCTCTTGCCTCTGTCTCTTATCTTTCAAGTACTGGGATTATAGATACACCACCATGCCTGGAAAGAAATGTTCATTTTTTTCTCTGTTTGGTTCTTAAAAATTTTAGGAATACAAGAAACACCGAAAGACTTTATTTCATATATCTCTCTACCATCTTTTATTCACTTCAAAGTAAAATACACCTGTGCCTGGTGGTATATACCTATAAACTTAGCATTTGGCAAGTGGGGCTAGAAGCTACCAAAAGTGAAATTCTGTCTCAAGAAACCAAGATCAAACAACAAAATTCCAATCCAAAAACGGTGGGAGGGATTCATTTTGCGTCCCTCATCAAATGGTGGCAAATCCTCTTTCCATGTGTGTCGACGTTGGTATTTATTTTGTTGCCACAGATTCATATCACTGTACTTAGTGGAGCTAGTTAAGCCCTTCCTGGCTGTCAGCGACTGGGCAATAACTGAGACTTTTGGAGGAGCCTGTTCCTCATGTAATCATTCGGTTGTTGTCTTTATCCTGGTTATGTCTATGGGTATTAGTCTATGCAGGTGGCCATGACAAACTATCATGGACAGAGTGGCTCCTAAACAACAGAAATGTATTTTGTAAGGTTCTTGAGGCCACGAAGCCAGTATTAATTCAGACATAGTGTCTACTGTAGGCCTTCTTTCTGGTTTAGAGACTACTTTTTTTTTCTCCCTGTTTCTCATATGGTGGAAAGGAAAAGGATATTTTCTCATCCTGTTCATAAGGAATCTTGTCTTATGACCCAATCATATCCCAAACTCCCCACTTCTTAATACCATTAATTAGAGGTTAGTATTTGAACACATTATAATGGAACATCATGGGTTCATGTCTTGGTGAGTACAAAGTGTATAAGGAAAACCAGAAAGTAAATGAGTGAAGAATAGTTTATTATTACAGAAACAAGTACAAGAGCACTGGGAATAATTACCAAAGCAGTGTCTTCCCAAGTAAGCTAAGCAAGAAGATTACCAGGTGTCTGGCCAGTAAGCAAAGTACACAGGAGACCAAGGCAGGGGTATTGCTACTTCAAGTTCAGCATGGGCTGCATAGCTAGACTTTGTCTCAAAGGAGTTTAAAAAAATCTAAGTGGCATTTGTTGGAGAAATTCATACATATTCATACAGGCATGCAGGAAAGATTTGTTGTCACAGGTAGAGGTGGGAACGTTCTTGAGCATGCTCTGTTTGAATTCATGCTTCTGACAGGGCCCATTTTTAAAAAAGGGTGATGAAAGTATCTCTCCTAGGGTTTGGGTTTAATGTTGAAATACACAGTTATTCTAGGCAACCAGGAAGGAAGTGGCAGGTCAGTTCAGCCATTTTGGTTAGTTCTAGGCAAGTTTCTCTGATGGGTCTTATTAGCAACAGAAAACATCAGAGACTGTTTTGTCATTAAAGAGAAGTATCTTTTAGTTTTACAAATACAGGTGATTGTCCCTGACAATAAATATCTAGTGCCTAACATTATGAATTTTGAGAGCTGCACATATTCATTTCATAACAAAGTACACTTTCCAAGGACTATGGTGTCCCCATAGCTGAAAGGAACCAATTTCCAAATCCTCAAATTCCTTTAGAGGTGACTTTACAAAGAACTCCTCTTTGGTTGAGCTTTCCTATCCCCCTTTATCAATCCCTCAAAAGGAAAGCATGGCCTTCCAAAGTCAGCATTCTTACAAGCTGCCCATGTGCAGAAGTCTTAAGGTTAATCAGACTAGCCAATATTTTAAATGCTGAGGTTAAAAAAATTGAGGCTGAGAAATCTTTGTTTTATTTCTCTTTTCAGAGGACTCTTGTTTAACTCTACATCCTGTAGCCTATACCTTCCCCATCCTTCTGATAGGAGTTACATGTCCAATCATTTTGTTTAGTAATAATAATAATAATAATAATAATAATAATAATAATAATGATATGTGATATTTTAGAAATTTACATACATAATTGCAATTATAACTCAATTCAAAAGACTTTTTATATATGGGAGCCTTATAGCCATCACAAGGAAATAATTTCTATTTTTGGTCATAGTTTTGTTGGGAAGAAATTCAGTATGGTAATCAATAGCAGATTTTAAGTAAAAATATTTTATGAGAGGAAAAAATTCTTTGAGGAATATGTAATATAAAATGTCAAAGAGAAATCAAATGGTAGAACAATGTAAAAAATTTCAGGGTTATATATTTTGTTTTCCTTAAAATTTTGAAGCTCGGTGTTAAATATCTTAGGAGTTGGATATGATAGCTGGCACACACCTGTAATCACAGCACTCACAAGGCTGTGATTTGGAATTGAAGGCAAACTTGGGCTAAATGAAATATGCTTTAGGACAGCTTTGGAGGTTAGATTCTGCCTCAAACAATCAAACAAATAAAAAAATAAAATAAAATATTTATTAAAAGCAAACCAACCAACATAACAAAATAAAACTGCTTCTTAAATGAATACTGCTTATTGAATGAATGAATGATAGCCAAAAGGAGATGTGACAGTGTGAAAAAATTGCCCCTGTTCAATGGACACCTTTTTACTACCTGCATTTTTCCACCCACCGTGCATTTAAAGTCTACTTTGAGTATTTTCTAATAAAAGATAACTATTTCCTCTTCTATCTTTGCTTTGTTTTGCTCTGTAGTACTGGAGATCAAACAACATGGTGGCACATACATGGCACTAGGGACACAGTGGCAGAAAGATTGTTAAGAGTTTAAGGCCATGTGAGCTATATAGTGAGATTTAGTCTCTAAAAGTATCCAACAAAACAAAACAAAATACCTAGTAACCCAGGGTCTTGGTCATTTGAGGTGAGTGATTTACAAACCAAGTTACACCCCAGCACTTGTTAACCTTTAAAATAATAAGGGTAGGAAATAGGGCTGGGGATGTAGATCAGTTCATAGGACACTTGCCTAGCGTTAGCATTGTCCTTGTGCAAGTCGGCTTCTCTTTGATGCAATTTCTCCAACCTTAAATGGGTATAATGATACCAACCACACGGCAGGGGGGCGTTGAAGACTTGGGAGGTGTTTTGTTGTCATTCTTTTGATTTTGTTTTATTTTGAGACAGGGTCTCACTGTATATTCCTGGCTGGACTGGGGCTTGATATGTAGAGTAGGCTGACTTTGAACTTAGACATCAGCCTGCCTCTACCTCTTGAATGCGGGGATTAAAGGGCTGCCCCACCACCTCCAGCCACTTGTGAGATGGCTTATAGGAGTATACAACAATTGATTGGAGTGTCAACAAAGGGCCCTCCTGGATATCCATGTCTAAATCCTTAGTACCTGTGAATATGTTATCTTAAATGACAAAAAGGACTAATGTAGATGTGGTTAAATTAAGGATCATGTGGTAAAGTGATGATCTTGGTTTATCCCATGAACTTAATGTAATTCTAAGAGTTCAGAAAGGAAAAGGGAAGGCAAGAGAGTCAGGGTCATAATAATGCAGGACAAGAAAGGACCTGACAGACCATTGCTGGCTTTGAGAATTGACAGTTTGAGGGCACCCTTTAGAAGCTGCAGAAAGCAAAGAAAAGGATTCGAATCTAGAGTCTAGAAGAACATAGCCATTCTGACCCCTGGCTTTAGCTTAGTGATGCTCTATTCTAACTCTCATTCCCACAACCATAAAATAATACATTGATGTTAATTTAAGCCACCAAGTTGGTGATAATTTGTTACAGAAGCAGCCAGACATTAATATAGTTAGGTTAGCTGTTATTACTGTATTTTCAGCTTTTTGTTATGGCTTTTATTGGTGTAATTTAATGTAAACACTGCTGCAAAATAAAAATGGATCTTTTTGCCTGAGTACACACTCTTTCTCAGTTTTCCCAAATGCAGCTATTCTTAGAGAGCTGTCTTTAAAAGGAGCCCAGGTTTCTATACAATAGACAATGGACATAAGGCCTTTTGGATAAACTGCAAGATAATTTATAGTAACCTCTTTTTGGGTTCTCCATTAACAGATGTTATCAGCCTGTGTATTGATGTGTCGCAGAAACCATTCTCTGAGGCCCTATTCAGGAAGAAGTTCAAATCTAGTTATGGCCTGTTTCTTTTTCTTTTTTCTTTTTATCGATTCTTGGTGGATTTCACATTATGTATCCTGATCCCACTCAACTCCTTGTCCCCTTGCTTCTGCCCTCTGCCCTTGCAACTGCCCCCAAAACAAAATTTAAAAACAAAAACAAACAAACAAAAAAACCCAAGAAACAAACAAAAACCCCAAAACAAACAAACAAACAAACAAACAAACAACCCAAACCAAACCACCATCACCAAACAAACAAACAAACAAACAAGCAAGCAAGCAAACAAACAAACTCTCGCCCTGGAAAGCTGTAGTGTGGTCCAGTGAGTCACACAGTATACCCTTTAGTTCAAAGATAATTATTTGGAAGGGTTGGCTCTGGTTCTTCAGCAGAGGGCTCTGGGTCTAACAGAGATCCTACAGTAGGCACCATTGAGAATTAGTGTCTGTACCAGGAGACTCAGGAAAAGGAGGAAAAGTGTTGGTGGATCCGAGGAAGGGTGAAAAAAATAAAAGGACAGTCCAGCCAAATACTGGTGAGAGACTGCCTCCCATCATCCATCCTTTTGAGTTTCTGATGCAGTTATGGAAACTTTGCACGCACCCTCGGGGACCGGGGCGGTACACCTGCCCCTCTAGGATTGCTGTGCCTGGGGCACGCTTAGGGAAGTAGATCTGGGAGAGTGGCCACCCTGGAGGGGTGGTGGGAGACTGCAGGGTGGAGTCATGGGACGTGCAAACGGAAAGACTACATCTCCCAGGCCGCCACGCTTTCCAGATGGAGTCCTAGGGCGCTGACTGCTCCCCAGTTTCCGTAGGGAAGCACCAGGCTACCACGGCTATTGTGCGTAGCGCTGTTGCCCTCCTCTTCCCGCTGCCGCTGCCGGGTTGTTGGTGGAAAGCTACGTTTCCTTGCCGCTGGGTTTAACCCTTTAAGCACCAAACCCGACAGCCCGCTGGCTCCCCGGAACGAGTAGGCGGTCTCCGCAGCTGCCGAATTGTGGGCGACGAGCCCCGAAGACCCGAGGAAGATAGCCGAAGGGAGCCCGTGTTCTCGGTTGGTCTCGGGCTTGGGGCTCGGCCAGCGTGAGGCAGTGGCATTGGCTTTAAGAAGGGGGAGGGGAGGCGCGGTCCGCCGCTCGGGGAGCCGGGGAAGGAAGCCTAGGCTGGCTTGGGAGAGCAGAGGCGGCCCCCCGCGCCCGTGCTCTCCCCGCCTCCACCCTGGGCCGCCCAGGACTCAGCGCTGCGCTTCGGGGAGGCGATGACCAGGGGGCGTGCTGCTCGCTAGGCTGCACCCTGCCGGCGTCAGAAGGCGTTGGTAAGCATTCCCGGTCAGCCGCAGCCACCACCGGACTACGCGCTCCTGCTACACACCAGCGGGCGCTCCCAAGAGTTTCATTGGAACAGGTACCTGTCCTCCAAAGGGAGTGGGGCTGGGTCGCCCTAAGAGTGGCTCCTGAACGCAGGCCACTAGGTCTATTCTGCTGGTTGTGCCACTGATGCTCTCGCTCTTTGTCTCTAACCCCTAGTCCCTCCGCTATCGTAACCATGGGGCATCCCCCGCTGGAGTTCAGCGACTGCTACCTCGACAGCCCCGATTTCCGCGAGAGGCTCAAGTGTTATGAACAGGAGCTGGAGAGGACCAATAAATTCATCAAAGACGTGATCAAAGACGGCAGCGCGCTTATCAGCGCTATGAAAAGTAAGTGGAAGGCTTCTCTGAGCTGTTTCTCTTAGTAGGTGGTTCTGGCCTTTAAACCTTTCCATACCACAGGGGGAAGGGAGCATCTGCAGTGACTCTCAACCCAGGTCTCTGAGTCTGATGGGTTTCTGAATCTTTGAGACGGGTCAGTAATAATGGAAAATGGTGCAGACAAGCAGGACTTTGGCCTTTCCCTTTAGTGGCCCTGACCTTCCAAGACTTAATGTGTAGCTGGGACAGGGACCCTCTTGCTTTGCAGTTACTCTTACTTAGCAGATCCTTATTGAAAATGATAGTCTACTCAACCGGTCAGACATGCCCAGCACCCCTGTCTGGTACAAGGTGACTTCCATGCTGACCAAGGACCTACTCCAGTACCCCCTAAAGAATTGGGAATTAAGGCAAATAGCTCCAGTATAATGATTTTTGTCCTAGACTCTGGTTATTACAGAAAATTGTGGGGCAGTAAAAAAAAAAATCACCCTTCCCAAATCACTTTCTAAGGAGAGCACCTTTGCCCTCCCCTGAAATTTTTTTAAATATATATACTGTTAATGTCATAGTTAGTCCAAGTTCAGGATTATTGGTTGGCTTCACAAACAACTGAATTCTGCTTCAGTATGGAACAAAGACCTGTCAAGTTCATGGTCCAAGGGGTCCAAATCCCCTGGGTGTAAAATACAGGGATAGGGTGTGGGGTTGCTGCACTGAAAGGACCTTACCAAGCTTTGCTTTTTCAGTGGTCACGACTTCCTCACTTGTGGGACTGTTTTTTCCTCCTCTGTGTGTAGGCTTTTATTTCTGCTGGTTGTCAGGAGGCTCAGAGAAAAAGAAAGAATAATAAACACCCCCAACGACAGTATAAGTAAGCCAACCCTCTGTGCCAAAATATATACCCAGAAGAAGGGAGGGTAATGATTAAGTAGAGTGATGATTAATTATTTTTTTCTCTCCTTGGCTGAAAGATAACTGTGAAGGGTAAAGTCATCGTGAAGGAGTCTCTCTATGCCTTTAACTTTGTTTGGAGTGGATTTACCCCCACCCTATCCCATGTCAAGGTTATGTGGCCCCTTGTGGCAGGCTGTTACAGCCAAGCAACAATGGAGAGAGTCTTAAAAGCCTTGAAGCCACAAGAAGTGCGACAAGCCAGCGTTTCCCCGTGCAGCAGTTCTCGTATGTGGTTGGGCAGAATCTGTCAACTGTTCCTTCGAGTTCTTTAATTGAGTTTGATCAGTTAGTGCTTTGTTGTCCAGTCACCTGGTCAATAGGAAACTTGTGTTTGCACCTAAAAGATGGAATATTTGAAATGCTGAGCCTTCCAGACTTGTGGGCCAGGCTTTTGGGTGTGTCTTCTCTTGATAGAGTTCATTGAGAGGTTGAGGATATGGAGGTTGTGCCACAGAAATGGAAATTTGAGGACTCTGAAAGGAAAAGGGGGTCTCTTTGGATTGCAGATTTCTTCTTATTGCAAACTGCTTGGTGTAGCATTCCCCGTAAAAGAAAGGCCATTATAACAAGTGCTAGTTAAGAGGTAGTTTTGTAATGTGTATGGCAAGCTGAAATTGTGCTAAAAAGGATCAGCTAAGTCATATCTGAGTGATTAAGCTTTGTCAGAAAAAAAATCGATTCAGAGGCATTTTGGGGAAAGGCATTTTGTTTTTCTCCAGTTCTGGAGACTGAATTCTGGTCTTTGCATATACTAGCTACAGACATAGGTCCTGGTTTTGGGGAAGAGGCTCTTAATTTGTAGGTTTGCTGCTGGTCTTTCTGCCTTAGCTTTCCAAGAGCTGGTTTATAAGCATGCAAATGTTTTGTAAATTAAGAGGCAAGTAGTGGGTTTTCTTGCTTCCTGGATTTTATGAGACTAAGAGCGGGAAGATACAGCAATCACGTAGGCTCAGATCTTTGCGCATGGGCTGCAGGTCTAAAAGCTGTTCTAGGATAGGGAATTCTTGAATATTTGGGCTGATTTTCTATTTCAGAGTCAGTGTAGCTCAAAATGGGATGGGGAGGTATTAAAACCGCCATGACTAACCCTTGCCTTACTGCGTTTCTTTAAGCTCCACTGGTTTTAAATACTTGGGGAGCTAAAGGCAAACATGGAATTGCTTCCTACTATCTGTAACACAGTAGTGTTGGCTCCCCACACTGCTTCTCCACACTGTGCCGGCTCAGCCACCTTTTTCCAGGGTAGGTAGGGTGGATGCAAAACACAGGTGCACTCTCCTCCCAAGTGAAGGAAAGATGAAAATATCCCACTGGGATTGGATTTTGAGGACTTGGGTTACAGTGGTGGCTTCCCCATTTGGGGATCTGGCACAAACCATTTCAACTATGAAATGTAATTCAAAAATTAAGAAAAAAAATCTTTAAAGAGAGAGAAATGTTGAAGTAACCCAAATTTAGTTAACACTGGATGGTAACGTTATGGTAACGTACCCCAATAGATTTGTACAATATGAAATTGGTGGTGGGCTGGGCATGTAGCTGAGTGATAGAGTGTTTGCCTATCATGTGCAAGGCCCTGCATTCCATCCATCATACTGGAATTTTAAAAAGCCATTGCCATAATAATGGTGGTAAAAATATCCACCTCAAGGGGTAGTTGTGAGTCTTAAGGGGATTAATTCTAAAAGTGTTTTGTAAAATGGAAATGACTAAAACAAGTACACTGTTGCTTGTCTCTCTTTTGGTGACTAATACATCTCTTGATGACTGTATAATTTTCAGTAAAGTTCAGAAAGGAAATACATAAGCAGCCCTCTGCCTTGTTATCTTGTTGGAAAAGCTCACTCATCTGGGCACAACTTGGTGATGAGTTTTGTATTCATGCACATGGATACATCTTAGCATCTGGAACCTGGCAATAAAAGACAGGACAATGACTGACACTTAACTAATTTGGGTATTAAATCAAATGGCTAGCATTCTTGCAAACCTTGAGACATGGCACGGTAGCTGTGAAAACTGCTCTGTAATTTTCTTTCAGCTTGTTAACCCAGGTGAAACTTGATGTCAGTACTTTATCCCACTCTGTGATTTTTGCGCAGAGCTCTGGATAAGGCCTTAGGCAATAAACATGCTTGACTATTAGTGCGTTAAATATGGGCTTGTTTGAATACTGTGCTGGTTAGTTTTTTGTCAACTTGACCCAGCCAGATTCATCTGGGAAGAGGGAAACACAATTGAGGGATTGCCTCCATCAGATTGTCTGTAGGGGTATTTTTTTTTGATTGTTATATGGAAGGCCCCAGCCCACTGTGGGCAGTGCCACCTCTGGGCAGTTGGTACTGACTGGATGGCGTAAATAAGCAAGCTGGAAAGCAGTGTCCTTTCCATTATCCTCTGCTTCAGTTCCTGCCTCCAGGTTCCTGTCCTCAGTGATGGATTGTGACCTGGGAATTGTAAGCAGGAATAAACTGTGTCCTCCCTGGGTTGCTCTGGCCATTATTTTTATCACAGCAACCGAAAGCAAACTAGGACAAAAACTTCGGTGTACTTAGTTTGGTGTTCAGACGTAATTGATGTTCCAACGCCTGCATCCTTTGATGGTGCTTGATCCCTCCCTCAAATGTGATGTATTTAGAATTTTTAGAGCATATGATGATTATAACTTAAACTAATAGAAAATAAAGCACCATCGCTCTGAAAGATGAAGACTGTATTGTCTGCTTTTCTCTGTTCTCTCTCTGTCTCTCTCTCTCTCTGTACATACATGTGTGCTGGGGACAGAACACAGGGCTTTGTGCATGCTGGACAAGTCCTCTCCCACTCATCTATATTCCTGTGTCTCTCCTTTTTTATGTTGACAGTTTTAGTCCTGTTGATGTTACTGAATATTTGCTGAACACCAGGGCTAGGCATTATTCAGTATAAATGCTTATATGGCCCCAGAAACCCGAGACACTTAATGTAGACTATATATAGTTCATGGACCAAATACCATTCATTCAGTAAATACCTGTGCACATACTATGTTCTAATCTTTGTTCAGATGACTGTTAAATACACAGAGTGAGTCACAGGTGGATATTGACCTCAAGCAGCTCCGAGACATGTGGGGGAGATATGTAGAGGAGAAATTACTGCTGTATAAGGTACTAAAGTTCAGAGCTTTAGAGTTGGATGGTGGGCATGATTGTATGTGACATTAGAGAGAGGAAGAGAGCTCATTTCTTGGTGGAAGACAGAGGGAGCAAAGGAGGAAATAGCATTGGAGCTTGGCAGAATTTACAGCACTTTGACTTATTAAGCTGTTTAAATATATCAGTAATTTCTTAATTAAAATTTATTTTTAGATGTTGCACTTTATGGACAGGCAATGCCAAAAGAAATGGCTAGGTGGGAGTGTAGTTTTAGGAAGAGTCACAGAGAGATTATCAAGAATGTTTGGAACTTTTTTTTTTTTAAACAGGGCCTCATGTAACTCAGGCTCACCTTGAATTACTTCACTATATATCCCAGGCTGGCCTTGACTTTATTATCTTTCTTTGTTAGTGTCTCAAGGGCTGTGATTAGAGGGGTGTGCCACCAAACTTGACTATATTTGTGACATTTAACATGTCTTGCTTTTTTTTTTTTGGACAGGATCGTGTTCTGTAGCCCAGGCTTACCTGGAGCAGGCTAATTAGCCCAGGCTGACTTCAAACTTTATAATCTTTTTGCTTCAATTTCCTGAATGCTGGGTATACAGGAATGAGCAACCACACCCAACTTAGGAGTGCAGTATTTGAGATGATACACTCTATATAGCTCAGGCAGGCTTTAGGCTCAAAATTCTCCCATCTCAACTTCCTGAGTGCTGGAATTATAGGCCTGTATCACCTTCCCTGTCTATATTTTTTATATAGCTCAGGATCAATAAATCTTGTCTGTAAAGTATTGTATTATATGTATTTTAGACTTCAAGGCCATGCATTCACTCAAAATTAATTCTCCTGTTGTGTGAAAGCTGCCTTAGAGGAAGAGTCCGTGAAACAAGCATTGTAAGAAAACTTACT